TGCATGTTTCCAGTGAAACATTTTGTTTGGTATCTCTTCACTACCACATTAATCTATATCTAGATTAATTTTTTTTAAGTTAAATTACAATATTTTGGAAAAATATTTAATGAAAAAGAGGAAAATAAAAAATAATTCAGTTGATGTCAGTGAGGAGTTTGAATTTACTCTGTAATAACTTTATGGTCTTTGTTTAAAAAGGTAGCTTTTAGCAAATTGTATTTAGTTTTACACTGATTAAGAAAAAGGAAAGTTTGTTAATCTGTGGAGAAAACACCTGATTTTGTCCACTCTATACAGATGGATAAACACAGATCACTAAGGTAAAAGAATACAACAAACATTCGTATTGCTTCAGAGTTTTATATAATGCTTCTATATTTTAATTAGAGATTCTGATTTCATTTTGTAAATGTTCTAACTGTATCTCTATTAACACTAACAGAACTAATAAAAATGCTGATTTTTACATTAATTAGAAGAGTTAGGGGAAATTAGGATGCGAGGGTTTCTGAATCAGAAGCACTACATTAATAGAGGTTTGCATCCATAGATGACATGTCACTGAGTCACCATTGTATTTTAATTGCTCTATTTACTGATAGAGGGAAAATGCACACTGAAGTTCTAGTATCTTTAAGCTGATAAAACCATAATGTTTGCTTTTTTATTAGAATTACAGAAGATGAAACAGTCATAGTGTTGGAGGATATTGAAGTAGTCTGATTTTTAAATGCTCTACATCTACCTCTTGGCATATCACAATTTATTCTGTTTACTCCACCAGCATTGCTGTAAATCTCTCAAGCTTATGGGTGATAAAATACTTTCTTGTCAATGCACACACAAGCACACACATACACATATTTGGGGGCCACAGTTATTTTTACAACTGCACCTGAGGCTGGAGTGATTTCAAGAGAATTGTATTTGTTTTATTGGCTGATTGAGAAGGGCAGAAGTATTTTCATTATTAGGTTAAACAACAGTAATGACCTATTTTCTCTTCTGGCTAGGATTACATCATCATACTCTACTGCTTCCTGCATTTTTTTAATTCCTATTTATCATAAATGTGATGGGAACATTCAGGTGTGCTGACAGCTTTTTTTTTTTTTTTCCAAATTATTTTGCAAGTGAAAATTATCTTGATTTTCAGTACAAAATCCGAGGAAGGTAAGAGCTGCTTCAGCTACAGGTAGGCTAACTGAGCAGGCATTTTAATAAAAGTTAGCGAAAGAAAGTACATGCAAACAAGATGGGATAGAAAACATTAAATGTGCTGAGTCAGTTGGGTTTAGAGATTGTTCCCTGCAGGTCTGTGTCTCCCATTGTCCTTTGCATAACTGGACATGCACCGATTGCACGTTGCTTTCTCAGTAATTAGTAAGACTCCTTTTACACATTAATTTCTGTAAGTTGGGTACCCAGAAAATGCATTTGGCATCTTTTTGCATTCAAACTTTGTGGTTCTGCACTGTCTCCTTTCCGGGGGCAGCATGTATGTTATGTGCATCACACCAGCATTCGTTTCCAAGAAAAAGAGTCATAATATGGTAAAGGGGTTGTTTGTGATTTATTGATGCTGTATGAGCTGTAATAGCCTGTTAATGATGTGTTTGAGTTTGGACTTGCCTGTTAATGGATCGCAGTCTACCAACAACATTTATAAAAATAAGGATGATTTTGCTGTGAACTCTGGAGCTCTACATACTTCACAATATTTGCTTTTAATCTATGCTGTGTCTTTAATGCAGCCTTTGGAATCAAGGACAACCTATGTTAGATATATGTATATGGTAAGATATATATGTAAATGTAGGTATATGGTAAGAAATTTTTTTTGTCTGTTTAAAAATTAAGAAATATCATGAATGGAAATCTTTAAAGATTTCCTGAGTAATTAAATTCCCATACCTACATAGTCTGTCTCCACAACACTTCATTTATATGTTTTTGAGTAATTAAAATGTGTGCATTCTTCGTAACATTGTTTTATCAAGAGTATTCAAAGAAACAGATGCTTTAAAATTGCAACTATTCCATTTGGGGAAATAATTTACTGTGTTTTTATGTCAGCAAGTATAGAGTACTCTTTGTTGTCTCTGTATTTGATGCTAAATATACCCATACTTAATAAGTGCATCATAATAAGTGCAGCATCAATGAAGTGATATGTTGATATCATCACTATAGAGCTAGAGAAACACCAGCTGTCAATTTAGAGGACCCTCAGTGACACCAGTACAACTGGGAGATGAATTTGTTGCTGAGACAGGCTCTATCCCTGGCTGTAGCTGCTCAGCACTGCACTGCTTACGGAGGTCAGTTATTTACCTTCAGTAAATTCTGTTCTCCTGGTGATCACTTACCAAATGATTTCTCTTCATTCTTTTTGCTTGAAGAAGAACGTAGTCTGTCCTGTATGTTAGCACTTTCCAACTCTGAACCTGAGATGGGAGAGGGAAGGGAAAAGGAGGTCCACACTATTAATATGATATTTGCTCCTGTGCTGATTTTGCATTCCCTCCCACTGAGCAAAGCGTGAGTGGCATTAGTGTTGCCTTGTCTGCTCATCACTTTGGAGAGAGGAAATTCCTCAACAGCAGACCGTGCTGCGTATGTCAGGAAGTTAAAAGTATGCCATGGTTCTAAACCTCTATTTCAGATTATATTTTACAGTAACCAACCAGGATCAGACTGCCCATCAAATGGCAGCAGAAATACCACTCACTGCAACCCTACTGAAAGCCTTTTCACAGATGCAAAAACGCACACTGGTGTGCAGCATGGAGAGGTGGCTTTTGTTTCTGCAGTTCATGAAGGCAACTGGTGGATTGTCCATTTTATGGCAATAGAGAGGCTGCAGATAATTTTTACAGATGTCTCACAACAGTCTGACTGAATATTAGAGTGCAAAACAGGGGATGGGCAAATGAACAAAAGGTGCCTTGTAAAATTTTGTTCAGGATTAGTAAGTGTTGAAATTTCTAGGTTACATTATCAAAACAATTGCATTCAATGCCAAACTCTTTATTACATTCAGATGGAATTTATTTGGGAAATAGAAATGCATTTTTATCTTTGATGTGTTTGATAATATCGTAATGACTTAGAATGCATCTCGACAGTATATTTGGAATTAAGTGAAGAGGCAGCATCATTAGCAGCCACAGACTAAAATACATTGTAGAGATAGAACTGTATGCACTATAAAATGAGTGACTGTGCTTAGAATTAGATGATAGAAACACAATCTTAAGCACAGACCTGCAAAATTAGTGCATGGCAATAATGCATGGCATTGGAAAAATTTCTGTAAAAAAATACTGAGTTGAAAGTAGCATGTCTCCATCAGCTCCAATCTGCCTTGGAACGTGACTTGGAACTGGAAGAAATAATGGAATTTCTCAGTCTCCAGTTTAGTGTCTCATTCTGCTACTGGCTGCATTTGTCAGTAGGTTAGGAAGAAACTCTCACTATTTGCAGGGTTTTCCATGTATTCTCAAAACAATTTTGACCGAATGAATTCCTGAAGAGAATGAGAGGGACCATCAACAACCCTTAGCCCTTCATCAAACAATGTTTGGCAAGTGCAGTCCAAAACCTTAGCAGTGAAAGTCGAGCATTGCCAAAACTTTCCTGTGAAATGCTATACATGTTTCTCCTTGATTGTTTATGTCTAATTAGGGATTATGATGATGATGATTTTTCTTTTAAATGTTGCCAGTTGCCCACTTTTCTTGAAAAGAATTTCCCTATGATATGTTTAATTCACTCTACTAATGAGTTTAAGCTCCAAATAGCCTCACTATCAGTATTCTCGTAGTGGGAAAGCTTCAAAAGCAGCAGAGGTTATAAGCACTTGTACTTTTTTTTATTTCAGAGATGAAATTTTGAGCATTTTGAGTAGTGCATGTTGATAAAATATTTAGTACTGTGCAGAACAGAGACAAGCAGCCAATTTTTGTTCAACATCACTTCAACCACTGGTCTGAATCTCTACTGCTTTTACAGTGAGTCAGCAGCAAAGAGCATTTTCTTCCTTCATCTCATGGAATCACAGTCTTCATTAAAGGAAAGAAACAGATGATAAAATGTGTACCCATATGTATTTATGCTTTCATGGGCATAAAATTAATTACAGAGCTAACAGACCCTTGTGTATGCAAGGCTGCCAAATCCATGGAGCGTGGCACTCTCCACATAGAAACGGAGGTGCAATCAAGGTTAAGATTTCCCACAGAGGATTTGAAAACAAAAAATTTGTGTTATGTGAAAGAATTGCACTGGAGGCTTAGCTGAAAATGAACAGAAGTTAATGAGGTTTTTTTAGGGTAACTGAGCTGTGCTAGAGATATGTACAGTACAATATACCTAAATTGTTTGTTAGGAGACTCCACAGATTTCTAGATGATCTTGTATATTTAGATGAGATAATACTATTGACGTCTATATATCCTTGTAGTTGTTTTCTAAGAGTGTTCTCTGTGTGTATAAAAAGTTGTGAAATTCTGCTTTATGATTTTTTTTTTTAAATCCAAAATGCCACTTATGGGTTTTTTCATGTCTTTAAACTGCTTAGAGCAGTTTTAAAAGCAAATCAAAACAAAACTGCAAGCCAAAATTGCTCTTAAGTAACACCACAATGATATTATGTAAGGAAAATAAAAGGGAAAATAGGAAGACAGTGTTACTATATGGTCAGAGAGAATCTTTTGTTGTTGTCTTTAATTAATTATAAACTTCAGTAGATTCAGAAGTTTCAGTTCTTTCATTATATCTTTTAGTGTAAAATACCAGAGTTTCTGTTGTGAATATTTTCTTTTAACACTATTGTGCTTCAAAGTGCTGAACCTTAATGATGAATTTTGAGTAAAACTATAGTGATGAGTAGTGTTTGTTTATTACTAGTTGTAGTATTTAAAACAAAACAAAAGCCCATGAAGAGTTTTAGGAATAAAAATCCTATTGAGGTCTAATAGAGACTTGTGGTCTTAAGTACCTTAATGCTCCCCTAGAACTACCAGTGATTCCCCTGCAACCTTGCTCTTTTGTTAGTAATCCCCATAATTTACACATCCCGTTCCTGTGTGCACAACCTACACTATTCTTCATAGATTTTTTTCAAATCCTGGATTTCCAAACATAGCAGGGTTAGATAGGACAGGAAGGAGAACTGTGCATAATGGTCAGCACAACAATCTTCTCACTAATGGAGTTAAGAAAAACACTAGGAAAGAGAATTATTTTCAGATAAGATTTGTAATTTTGGAATCAGTGAAGCAGAGGCACAAGCAAATGGTTTGAAAAGGAAGAAGGTGCAGGGAAGGCTTCTGAGTCATAAGGAGAAAAATTCCTGAAGTATCCATAAAAGAGAAAGGAACAATTTGGAATCAACTGATTATGTGAGTGCAAAAAAAAAGCAAATGAAGAGTTTTGAAAATGAGAAATGACTTTCAAATGATGTTTGAAATAACTAGAAAGGCTTATGTTTTTGTGAAGAAGAATGAAACCCAACCCTTATCCATATTTAAAATAAATGTTAACCTAAGCTTTTAGAATAGAAGATGTATTTCCCCACCCTGCCCTGAAACAGGAAGATTCCCTCGCAGTGAGTGTGCAGCAGATTAAAACATTCAAAACCTCTACTTGCTTCCCACTATATTTTGACTGCAGAATGTTTGCAGTAATGGAGATTCTGGGATTTTAGTTGTGGTGGGGACGTCATAATTGATGTTCCTCAGACACCTTCAGACATTTCTGCTCTTAAGATACAATAACTTAGTTATTGTACAATTTTTTGCTGTTTATGTTATGTCCTGAGTAAATACAAAGGAACATTACCTACACTGGTCTGCAGCTGAGGTAGTGACCTTCCCCTGTCCCCACCCTGGAAATGCAGAAATACTGTGGGAGTGGGGCTGGATATAAGGTGAGACCATCACTTCCACACTAACTGGACTCTGTGGAAAAGGTGATAGTGAAGCTGTGGATTTCAGAAACCTCGTATGCACACACAAGCAGAGATGTGGGCCGGGTTCCCTGCTCAGGTAACATCTGATAGGAACTGATGGGTTTTGACCAGAGATGTGTTTGGCTTTATAGCTCTTCTGAGCAACTTTCTGCGTGGTTTGCTTAGCCAGTAAAAGTTTTACATGACTTTTGCAACAAAGGATTCCAAACTAAATTAACCCTGAGAAAAAGTCCCATGAGGAAGTTCTTGATTTTTGTTTACAGCGATGATTGTCAATATTCCTGTTTTCTGAAGACTCAGGAAGACAAAACTGCATTGTGATAGTGGATAACAACTGATCTCTGATGAATGTAATAACTCGATTTCTGATGAATGCAATAACTTGATTTAGCCAGGTAGAACCTTCTTAATTTTTAAAATGTATTTGAACATCTCCATTATGTTCCAGATTACTGTATTGCAGTAAGTTACCAGAGATAACTTGGTTTTAAACTGAACTTCAATAAAATTTTCCTTGAAACACAGTGATAATTTTTATTGAAATATTCATTCTGAGGCACAGATACATATATATGGATCTCTGAAGCTAAAACTGAAAACTACTGGAATTGAAATACCATAATGAACTTCCTTTTTAAGAGAGGTACTAAACAAGAATTACATAACTCTTCCTGATTTCTTTTTTATGTGTTGGAATCATAGAATCATTTTGTTTGGAAGAGACCTTTAACACATAATACATTTTATCTTTAGAACTTATATTAGTAAAAGCCCTACAAAATTTCTGAGTTTCTGTAGTCACTGTTGGCATCTTTGTTTTTTGTTTTTGTTTTTGTTTTAAAAAAAAGGACAGAGGCCAATCACTGTTCTTTTTATGTTTAACACCTGTCAAAAGATTCCCCAGTTCTTTCATTTGGATTAATTATTTATGGTATCCTATTCAGAAATTTTATATAACAGCTCTATGAAACACTTCCCTGTTTTTCCAGACTGCTCTCCAGGACTGCTCTTACATAAGAAGTTGGTAAATTGCAAACTAAGAAATAACACAATAGCACTCTCAATCTGTGATTTCTTTTCCCTCCAGCATAAAAAAATGTTGTAAAGGAAACTAGCCCAAATCTTTTAATCACTACACACCTCAGTTTTGTTCCCTTTCATGACTAAGCCAAAAGCAAGGGATTTGCTGTATTTTCACCAGAAATACTACCCTCCAAAAAATTAAATTGTAGCCTCATGTGGGAAGCATCTTTCTAAAAATTCCCTGTGTATGCATGCTTGGAATTTCAATAGTATTTGCTTTTCTGCAGAAGTATCAACTTATCCAGATTGTGTCACCTTTCCACAGAACACCCTTCCAATGGTACTGGTTTTACCACTGCCTAAGGGCAAATAGCCAATAATGCAACCCCCATAGGCATAAACAGGAGATTTTTAGACTAAGAACAAGTTATCTGCTGTCAAAGTGATGTGTAGCCTTAGCACCACCAGTTTTCAGTTTTCTGGTAGTTGGTAATTTTTAA